TGATTTCTTTAATCTGATCAACTCATGAATCATGCTTATACTTAGTCGTTTTTAACTGAGAAAAAGCAAAATTGACTGTAGCAATTTATGTGGATTCATCCTTATTAATTGTTACCTGCTCATGACATGAATTTGACTTTTGGACATTTGATAGGTAAAAGTAGTTAAAAGCTAAAGATTGCATTTTATATTCATTATTTCTCAATTTTATATCTTTAGAACACATAATGCTTTCTTATAAATGGAAAGTTAATAACACAATGGTTTCATAATATCTTTGCATTGTTTATATTTACTTTGACTTAATTAGTAAACTATTATTTCTTCATATAGTTACACTCCAATTACTTATGACCTTCTTTTCAATTCTTCTTTGTTTTACTCATTAAGACAACTATATTGGTATATAATTGAATGAGATGGACCAATTTAATGTTTACCAATTTTAGTCCACATGCAAACATATTTGATATGCTTTTAGTTTTAGCTAATTGATGCTAACATTGTTTGCCATAGAACTATTTTATTAATTTTCATATTTGTGTATCATATTCAGAAAATATGAGAGACATTCAAAGAAATGCAATTGCAGCCTTTATTGCATATGCTAGATATTTAGTTTTCTTGCTCGAGATGTTGAGAGACCACTATTTAGATGGTTACTTTTTGTTAATTGGTAAAATATTTAGATATTATATGCATTAAAATATGTTGACCTGGAGCACTTTTTATTAATTGGTATACATATAGTTACTGCACTAAGTGCTTGTTTATTTATTTAACAATATCCAATTGCAATTGACAATAAGAAAAAATCTATTTTGTTTCTGTTACAGGCTTGTGTTCAAGCCACCTGAATTCAAAGACCATCTAATTTCATGATGATCCTTTTTTTCACTACTTAGTCATCTTAAAACAGTTATTAAACCACTGATTTAGCATATCCCAATAATCAAAGGTGGTTAGTAAGTCTAGATTAGTGGATCACACGAGGCCAAATAGCCCCAACCGCATTAGCATCCAGTAGAAACCTAGCCTAACTTGGAGGTCTCTCAAGCCTTTAAACACCATAAGGCTTCAGAACTGCCTCATTAGCCAACAGGTCCGCCACATGGTTAGCTTCCCTAAACACCTTGACGATCTTCACATTCCACTTGTACTACAGAAGCTTCATGCACTTCTAAACTAAGTTCCTAAACTTGTAGGATGTAGTCCTGCAATGCTTGAGCATGTCCATTGTAGTTTGTGAGTTCGTTTGAAGCTCCACATTCCTCTAACCCAGCTCCCAAACTTGTTGGTCTCTTATTGCTTGATGGATTATTAATGAGTTTAATTTATTTCAAAAATACATTGATTTTACTACTTTTTTGTGCTAATATTATTGCTATATATAAAATAAAATTGATCATTTCTCTTTTTCCTTCATATTTTATATATCTGTAGTTATTTTTTTTCTAGATTATCTAGTTTGTTTAAAGAGTTTGAAGTTGCTATTGTACATGACTATGATTATATGTTGAATCCGAATGCATTCTTAATTTTGAATATTATTAATGAAAATAAAATTTAAACATTTGCAAGGACTTAAAATATGAAAATTTAAAATTTAACCATTAATTAATTAATTAATTAAGATAGAATATGAGTATATTTATTTATACTAGTTTTTTTTAATATGCGTTGCACATTATTACTCGATGTACTTGCTCGTTACATTTATTATTTTGAAAATTAATCTTTCTCTCCATTCAAATCTTCTATTTAAGTTTTTTGGATGATCATGATTTAGTTATTGGTTTTGTTAAGAGTTTAACATAAATAATATGTTTTTCTCAAAATTATGAAGGTATATTGTTTTTATTGGTTAAATAGATTACAAAATTTTATTTTATTATCATAACTAAATCTTGAGTACATATATTAGGAATCAAATATATATTCTAATATATAAAATAAATGCATTAAAATATAATGTTTAATAGTTTTAACATTAAAATAAGTATGTTTTTCTCAAAATTATGAAGGTATATTTTTTTATTGGTTTAAATAGATTACAAAATTTTATTTTATTATCAATACTAAATCTTGAGTAACATATGAAATTGGAATCAAATATATATATTAGGAATCAAATATATATTCTAATATATAAAATAAATGCATTAAAATATAATGTTTAATAATATAATGAATTTCTAGATAAAAATTAATAGATAAAAATTTAATTTCTTCTAAAAAAATACATAAAAATTTAGTTAAGATAGATTAAGAGTAAAACAATTAATATCCCTAAAAACAAAGAAAAACAATAAAGCAGTGAGTTTTTATTAATTGAACTCTATTAACAAACTGTAATAAATCAATGTATACAATAGCCAAGAAAGGGAAAGAAAAGAATTCAGTTATAATAACTAATAAAAATTATATGCTTATATGCATTTCACATAATCCTCACTGCCTCCTAAGAACGCAATGTATACTTTGAGTTGAGAGTTTACATGATCCATTGTTACATTAGAAAAAATCTTTTTCCTTTAGACTCAAAAGAATCTAAAAAAATTAGTCGAAGTTCATTAAATAATCTTTTTATATTATTCTAAAAAAATAGACTCATTGTATAAGTAGTATTAATAATTAATTATGATTAGGGTTTACTTCTTATAGAGGTAGCAATACCTTCTTTAATTATTTTCACCATGTTCTTAATTTTTTTTGTTATTTATCTTTAACTTTTCAAATAATAAAATTAAAATCTTTAAAAATATTTTTATCATCTCTATCTAAATTTAATAAGAGTATCTTGGTTAATCCTAGCATTTTCCTTTCCTATTTCTACTTTTATATATATTCCAACTAATATATTTTTAAGTCCTCCATTTTAATCAACCAATATTAATAAATTAAAAATTTCCTAATTAGAATAGGACTAAATTATCTTTAATGATATTTTTAATCAACCAATAAAATACTAATAAAATTAAAATTTTTCTAATTAGAATATGACTAAATTATCCTTAATGATATTTTTAATCAACTAATAAAATCAAAAGTCCGTAGGGGCGTTTTAGGAATGTAATGCCCCCCCATTTCGTAGCTTTATATATATTAGTTTTTTTTATGATGTGGGATGCACGTTGACTATACTCATTATATGCTCATTTTTTATACTCATTTAAATTTTTTAATTTATATAATTAAAGTATAAATTTTTATTTAGATTGCAATAAAAATAGTGGTTTTTATATATACATTAAAATAGTTTTTTGAGCTATATGTCTTGCACTGTAATATCTCATTGAAAAAAAGTTGATATATTTGTTTCTCTATTTGAAATAGCAATTTAAATATGAAATGTCATTTATATTCTCTTCAAAATATCGGTTCATATAGTTTTTATTACACGCTAGTTGCTTTTATTTTTTTGTTTAAGTACCAAATTGATTTATAAAAATCATCATATACCTTTTATTTTACGTTTTATAATTAATTTACATCTTTTGTTAATATATTTCACCATAATCTCTTTTAGTAAATAAATATATTTTAACAATAGAATGAGAAACTAATCTAATAAATCAAATTAAATATTTATAAAGAACAATAATTTTTATTTTTATTTTTTTAGCCAAATATGTTCAACCAATAAATTTCTCTTTTTAGTAAATAAATATATTTTAAGCAATAGAATGAGAAACTAATCTAATAAATCAAATAAAAATTTATTTATAAAGAACAACTAATACGTTGTGTATATATTTAAATGTGTTTCTATATAGCCAATCAAAATACGTGAAAGATGCAATTTAAAAAATTTTATTAATAAAAGATTATATTTCCTTGATAGAAAGAATGATGATTTTTGAGTTATAAAAAGAATAGGATTATGAGATTAAAATATAAGGATATCAATATAATTAATCAAATTCGAGATGTTAGAGAAAAAGATATATTTTGTTATCTTGATTTATTTGGCCAACTAAATTAGATTGCAATTTGTAATTAAAGAAATTTAATAATACCCGTCTTTTTTAAATTCAAAATCCTTAATTATCTGGATGAATATTATTATAAAGTAAATTTGAATTAATATAAAATTTTTAAAATGCCTCACATTTACAACAATTCATTTAAAATAAATAATGTTGAAGATAAGTTTGCAAATAATGTAAATAAAAATAAAAATAATATAATATAATAATTATTAAAATTATTTAAATTATTATGCAATAATTTACATAATAATATAATTGAAAATAAAAACATAATTAGAGACATAATAAGATATAATACGCATAAAATTTTTAAATTTTCAAAATTATTAATTATCTAAATGTATGTATCTATAAAGTTAAAAAAACATCTCAAATTATAGAGATATTATATATATATTTTTATGTTAAAATTTTTTAATTGACTATGATTAAGGTTATTTTAGAGTATCTTAAATTTTACAAGGATAATATAGGTAATCCCATTATTCTCACTTTTATTTATAGTATAGATTATAGATTAGTGTTTTTGTTAAATTATTATGTCAAGGGTATTTTAGAAAATAAAAATAAATAAATTTTTATTTAAGAATTATTCCAAACATAATTTTATGGAATTCAATTAAATTCTTTATTTTAAATTGTGGCACATCAAACATGACAATTCATTTGCACATGAATTCTATTTGGAATTCATTTAGAAATTCAATTGCAAATTGAAATGATCCGAAAATTTAATTTCGTAGAATTTTCATTTAAAAACTAAATTTTTACTTCAACCAATGAGATTATTCTACCTAGTATTTTATTATTACCTAACCGGACACGTAAACCAATTTGAGTTTTTTGAAAACTAGGTGAAAATCCGTAAACCGAGTCGAATCACTTAATTGGACCAAACCGATTCGAATCGAACCGAATGATCTAGAAACCGGCCTACTTTCTTTCTTTTTTTTTTTTTTTTTCTAGAAACCGGCCTACTTTCTTTCTTTTTTTTTTTTTTTTCTCTCCTTTCTTCTTCTTCCTCCAGCGTCGACCTCATCCTCACCCTCTTCTCCTCTCATTTCCGATCACCGGAGACCAGCGCCACACCTTGCCGTCGCCCCCTCGCCGCAGCAGATTCCGGCATCCCTTCTCTCCTTTCTTTCGTTTTTGGCATACGCAGAAGGCGCAGGAGAGCCGCGACATCCTTCGATCGGAAAGTCGCGTCGAGCCTCCTGCTCCTCATTTTCCGACGACTCCAGCCTCTCTCGTTCGACGACGAAGCTTGGGTCTCCCTTTTTTTGCTCCCTCCTTTCCCGTTCCGGCTTGACGCAGCAAGCTGGGCAGAAGCTGCGGATCGTGGGCTCGCGACGATCTGTACAGTCGCGTTATCTGCTCTCACCTTCAAGTTTCCGACATTTTCCAGCTGAGTAAGTAATTTCCTGCTCCATTCTTCGTGTTTTATGAATTATTTCAACTAAATTGAAGGATTTAAGCCTGTATTATGTTTTTGTGAACAGGTTAGATTTTTTAAAAGTACTGATTATGCGCATTATCATGGGAAATTTGATATTGTCCTCTAATTGAAAACTTGAAAACATGAACTGAAATTACATATAAGGAATAAAGGGTTTATCTAGTTATTGCAAATTTTAGTAAGGAAATCAAAGACTTCTCAATAGGGCAGCAACTAACCAGGCTATCTGTACGAGTTACATTATAATATGAGGATAATGGTAATGTACAAATATCTATAATGAGATGGCAAAGGATGCAGTATGTCTATTTCTTGATGAATAATGGATGTATAACATCTAGACTGTGAATTTAATATAGAAATTTGATTCCCTCTTCAAATGGCTGAAAAGTGATTGTAATTGGGAGAGAAGTGATTGAAATTCACTCATTCGTCTTCATTCTTACATGTATCATCTTATATTGATAGTAATTTTTTTTAGATTTAAAAATATTTAGAATTCTATTATTTAGAATTCTAAACCTGGCACCTTAAGAAGTTATTGAAATTGGGATTTGTTTGTCTATTGTACGGCTTGATGGAAGTGTTTTATGTTCTTATTTGAAAATGGCAGCAAGAATTCTAAACCTGCACCTTAAGAGTTATTGAAGGGATTGTTATGCTATTGTAAGGCTTGATGAAGGTTTATGTTTATTTTGAAATGGCAGCAAGCTTATGATAAGTCAATAGGAATTATGAAAACTTCTTAATCATGCAAAGAGTAGTTGATTTAGTAGAAATCTAACTTGTCTTTAGTGTCAAACCGGCACTCATACAATGGCACAGAATCACTACACTCTTTTATTTTACTACTATTATATAATCAAAATATTCTACATTCAGTGAGGAAGCTTAATTTAACTTCAAAAATTAAGTGCCGGTTTGACTAGTCATTGAGTAGTCGTACTCACCCCTGCCTTATTAACATTTTTCAGGAAAATCAGATTTCTACTTTATCATTCAATTGAAGCTTTGTACTTCCTTCATAGAGCTAGTTTAAGTGTGATTAAATAATGAAAATTAGCTCTTAGTCAGCTGAGTTCCTTTAATATTGTACTAAATGTAGATATCAGCAATTGTTGTAGAATTATTGTACTTGTGGTAAACTTTCCCAAGCTGTGTAAATCTTTTTATGATAAATTTGAACCTGTAAATGCAAACATGTGTTGAATATTTGACTGGCATTGGCAGGCGTAATGGATATTATTATGACCGGTTTGAAAGTATATGAATAGTCTTGAGAAAATATGGAAATTGACGAATGGGGAATTTACAAGTACACATGTTTATATTTGAGTTGGGCCTTAGAAAAAAAAAAGTTTACTTGATCATAGTTATGTTGGGCTTGCCGGATAAATTCTTATTGGGTTTGCTTGTGAACATCTTTAATGGACTTAATAAATGAGAAATAGTGTCTCATGTTTCCTACGGGTCTCGGTAGTTTTAAGCTTATGAGGGCCCTAGTTCTAGTCCGCCCATGGTAATGGGTCGTGACTGATCTTTAGCTCATAAAGCTAAATGGCATGCATCCAGGTTAAACTTTAAGCAATTAGTTAATTTTGGTGCCTCCAGTTTTACAATTGTTGAATCCATTTTATTAATTTGGATTTTGATTTTATATTGGAATGGGCTTGAGTTTGATTTATTTTTGGGGTGTTAATTAATGATAACTCATTTTTAATTTTATTTTTTATGTACTTAATTAGTTAATTTATTTTTGTTAATTAATTAATTGATTGATTAATTAATGAAAGAAATAAGAGAGTTGGCAATTGAAAAAACAGTGGAGCATAATTTAATCGCATTAAAAGGGTGGAATAGCTAGTGCACAAGCGGATAATGCGGCTCTTAGCCCACAAGACTGCTTGGCAGCCAACACCAATATTCAAAGCCAAACCATATTACCAAATTTTTGGGTAACATGGGGATGACTGTGAGTCTGTGACTCTTTCTTATGCTTTCGTTTTGTTTATCATCATTACTAGCCAATTTGTGGAAAGTTTCGAATGTTCATTCTCGCATATTCTATAGTTTTTCAGATTATTTTTTGTTTGGTTAATTCAATTTTTAAATTGATGAAAAAATCAATTATAATCACAAAAAAGTTGTATAATTTGAATATTTCCTCATCTGTAAAAATGGATGCTTCCTGATCCCGATGCTGTGGTTGACAGGTCTTCAACATTTTCTTTTCTTCTTCAACTCTAAACAACTGCAGACACCACCAACTTGTAGAATTTTAGCTCCCAAACCAAATTAATCTTTCGCTTGTTTACAAATCTGTCTTTTAAACAAATCCACTTTCTCCACTTCTCAATCTGGAAGTGAAGAAAAATCGAAAGCTTAGCTGCGTTAACTCTTTGGATAACGAAACAATCTCTGCGATCACCACTGCTCTCAGCGATGAGTCTGTCTCCATTCAAGCAGGATATTGATGAGCTTATAAATGAATTTGTTGAGGTACCCATTGCTTTCTTATTTTTTTTTTCCCCTTTTGTTCTTCCTTTTAAATTTTTTCTTTCGATATATATTTGGGTTTCAATTGTTCAATTAACATTGTTGGATTTTGGGTCTTGATACAGGGTGAGTCAACAACTTTGGCTGATATGAAAAAATTATGGCTCTCCAAGAAGTTCTCTTTTATCTTTGATGCTATTCCTTCTGCCAATTTAGCCTTTTTTATGCAGTCATTGTTTGCTCATGCTATTGGTATGCTTTTTCCCTTCTTGAATTTCTTTTTTGCTCATGATTTTCTATTAATTTCTTTTTTGCTCATGATTTTCTATTAATTTCATTGCTATAGTTTTGGTGAATATGAACTTTCTTATAATTTTAGGTCCTGATGAAAAGAAATTTCTGCGATTTTTATTTTTAAATTTTAGAAATACTTGGTAATCGAATTTCATATTGTTAGTGTTCCTTTTCTGTTGCAAACTTCTTTTTTCCAATTTCTCTAGTCAATTATTCATACACCAGAGAATATCCTTTTTCTTGGGGTAATGAAATTAACCCAATATTTGTGTTCAGTGTGAGTTGTGTGGGTAAATATATCTTTCAACCAGAGCATCTTCTTGGTGGGTACACTGCTCAGTTCTGCTAAGTTTTGCTATTTTTTTTTTCTCCTTTGAATGAATAAAGGTAAATTACTATATAAACTTCTTCATCCTTATTAAATATTTTAACCCCAAAGAATGGGTAATAGCTTTTAACAATGTGGACACTCCTTTTGCCCCTTATGGGGTATAGAACTATGTAAGCTAATTATCTCACAACCTCGTCTTATTGTCAATCTTCACTCTTGATTCCATTTTCTACCTTGTATGCAAAGTTCAATTTGTTACTTATAAATTGAAGTCTAGGTAGCTATCTTCCATGAACTTCATAGTACTATCAAAATGACAGCATATTAGATGATTGCCATGACAAGAGTACATTGAGATAACGATCCCCATAAATCTAGTTGGTGTTCTTTTTCTTTATGTAAATTTATTTCTTATGTCGGAAGTTTGCTATGTACACTATCTTTATTTTCCATTTATGGAATGCAACTTGTAATTACATGCAGGTTACATGGTCAGTACTGCTTCTCTGTCTCAAAGACTGGGTGGGCTATATTGCCTTTACTGCCTATATGAGACTCAACCATTTAAGCCTCCTTTTAAAGTCTATCTCTCTCTTGGTATGTTTTCCATTAATACATTAACCTTATCTAATTAATTGAGTTGAATTTCTCATTTTAAATGTTGCAACACAATTTGGAGTTTTAGTTGCTTATTCCAAATTACTTACGTAATAATATTAATGATGACATGGTTTACCAAAAGAAGTTCTTTCTTCCTTAATTACCTCATCCTACTCCATGTCTAATTTGACAGGAGAACTAAAGAAACTTAAGATACTTGTTACTGATGCAAAAAAGCAGGGTATAAAAGTTGTCTCGACTTTGGTCAGCAGAACGCTGGAGAAGAACATGTTTCTCTTTGGGTTTGTGGATTTAAATATGGGCTCTGTTACTCAGACAGTGAACCAACTGACAGAGTTGCAGAATGCCCGCGTGCAACTTGCACATAAGAAGTATGCTTCTGACTTATGATTTTAATTTGTTCACTCTAGCTTGAGCATATTAGTCATGATTTTAAGTATATTTTCATCATCTATTTGTTTTATTGCTTTCCACTTTACAGGTTGTTTGCGGACACTCACATTGAACAGTTCCTCCACATGGACCTGGTAAGTTACAATCTTATGAATGTCTATGGTACAAAATGTAAAACATGAAATATATGGCTCTCATCTAGAAAGTTGCCAAATGCACAGACCAACTTAATCAACTGCTTTTTGGAAAGTAAGTGTGCTATTATGTGTAATCAGGAGTCAAGTAAACATGTAGGCCTCCAAGTTTAATCCAACATGTTGCCTCTTATGTATAGTTAAGCATGACAAATTATTTAGTCCAATTATCTCTCAAATTTTGACATGCCACTTATTTCACTTTCTGTCTTCCATGTTTTTTTTTTTTTTTTTTTCCCATTTTTAGGTCCTCCAAGTTCTATATCCAACATGTTGCCTCTTATGTTAGTTAAGCAATGAACAAATTATTTGTAAGTCCAATTTACTCGTCAATTTTTGACATGCCTACTTATTTTCAACTTTGCCCTGGTCTTGTCCATGTTTTTTTTTTTTTTTTTTTTTTTTTTTTTTTTTTTTTTCCCATTTTGAGATACTTCTAGACCCTAATAAGTCTCCTTTGCTTATGCTTTGTCTTGAAAGCAACTAATCCAGTAAAGTCCTACGAAAATATCATTTAAAATTGTTTGGGTAAACACTACTTCTGACGAAATACAAACAGCCAGAACGGAGAGGTTTTTTCAGGTTTCCATGGATCAATAATGATACCATGCAGATTTTGAAATATTCTTCCTTTTCATAATGTTTAGCCTGTTGATATAATGATTTTCCAATATTCCGTGTAAATCCCTTGATTTTCAGCTTGTTTTATCTGTGTGAATAAGTTTGTGTATTGAACAGTATCTCCTTTCCTTTCTTATTCCTACGTATAAAAGGGTGGAGAGCTTGATTTTAACACAATCAAGAAAATGTCAGCAGAGTACGCAGAGGCCAAGAAGCGAGCCATCCAAGGTACATTTGTCTTTTCCCTTCACTCTTGCACTACTCTTAGTCTATTTAATTAAATTCTGATTAAGCATTATTTTTAGATAGTTGCATTAGTGGTGAACGATATTATTGTGTGTTTCTGAATAACCATCCTACTGCTGCATAGAAAAGCTAATCACTCCTGCACATATTTAAAATTTACACACCACCAGACAATCTACTTGTTTTTTTTATTGTTACATAACCTTGAAATTTTTGGGTTCTCATGGATCAACCTCATGTTTATTTCTTTTTAGCAATTTCTCAATTATGTGATGAATCATTTACTTTGCATGTCTGCTTAATTTCTTTTTACAGAGGCCAGCAAGGTGGTTGATGTGCAGAACATACAGCATATATCTGGCGATAAGGAATCGATTGGAGATGTAGTGGAGAACATCACGGGGAACTGGCATGTCCAAAGAGAAGTGTTTTGTGAGCAGACAGGATTGAACAGATCTCTTACACAAGAACAAGAGCAACAACATCAAATGCATGAAAAGCAAGATGAGTGTGATGATGATAATGATGAATTCAGACGGCAACTAGAACTGCAACTAGTTGAAGAAGCGCCACAGCAACAAGAGGAAGAAGATGAAGAATTCAGATATCATCTGGAACTGCCACAATTTGGAGATCAGGAACAAGAGCATGAAGAGCAAGATGATTATGAATTATTCATGAAAAGTAAGGTTAACTAGGAGATATGCTATAGAAGTGGGATATAATCAAGTTAGGAAGCTAATGAATTTTTTTTTGTAGGTATTTCATGAGTTCATATCACTCATTTGTAAATAATTTATAGAATATCTGGAAGGAAAAAGAAAAAGTTTACCGTTTGCTTGAGAGACTTGTTTGGCGGAAAATAGACAGGAAAATTGCTATGATTCATCCATAACTCTTTTCAAAGTGTGGTTTTCAAGACAAGGCTGGTACCATTGGAAACTGGATTGAAAGAGCTTTCCAACGGTTATCTCATGGGCCAAAATTAAAGTTGAAATGGGCCTTTAAATCAGCCAGAAAGTGTCAAACCGGATCGGAATTGCAGCGCTGGAGGAGCCAACCAGGCTTGGCCGTCGGCCAGCCTTGCCAGTCCACCATATTGCAACTTTAACCCCCATTCCCACATTGAACGCCTCCACTACCTCCTAAGCCTATAAATATCCTCTCATCCCGAAAAAAAATCATTAAAGACGCAGCAACTCGCAAAACTTGGAGCAATATAAGCAACTATTTAAAGGTTTTTGCTCCTACAAGTTTTTTAGGTAAGTGTGGATTTTCACTCAAGTCTTTTAGCCTTTTAGTCTTTTCCAACTTGTTACAAAGATACTCAACATGTGGTCCATTTAGAGCTTTTGAGAAAATATCTCCCAGAAGTTCACTTATCTTGACGTGCCCTATGGAGATAATGCCTTATTGTGTTGTATTTTTTCACGAATGAAATGACAATCAATCTCAACATATTTTGTTCGTTCATGGAATAACGGATTTATGCTATGTGAAGAGCAGTTTGATTATCACACTATAACTTCGCAAGTAAGGATGACTTAAAACTAATTTCCTCCAACAACTGGCGAATCCAAATTATTTCACCAGTAGATTGTGTCATAGCTCAATATTTTGATTTGGCACTCGATCGAAAGACTACATTTTGTTTCTTGCTCCTCCATGATATCAAGTTGCCGCTAACAAAGACACATATCCTAAAGTTGATCTTCAATCAACCTTCGAACCTGCCCAGTCTGCATCTAGAAAACACCCAATGCCCAAATGCCCATGATTGCCATAAAGAAGGTCACGACCTGGATTACCTTTCAAGTAACACAAAATCTATCCTAAAGCTTCCCAATGGACAACAGTAGGATAAGATGTAAATTGACTTAAGACACTTACAAAATAAACAATATATGGACGTGTTACCATAATATAATTTAGTTTGCCCACCAATCTTCTATACATCTCAGGATCATCAAATAACTCACCATCAGCTGCAAGTTGTAAATTAGGAGTCATTGGAGCATTGTGTGATTTGGCACCCAACTTTCTAGTTTCCTTTAGTAAATCAAGGACATATTTTCTTTGAGATAAGAAGATGCCTCTCTTACAACTGGACACTTCAACACCCAAAAAATACTTTAATGGTTCTAAGTCTTTTGTCTAGAGGAAGGACTTGAGTGATGTAATGTTGGCTAAATTACTTCCTGTAATAACAATGTCATCGACATAAACCACAAGACATAAACCACAAGTAGAACCTAACTAGTCTTTGTACTTCTAAAAAATACAGAATGATCAAAAGTGCTCTTCTACATGCCAAATTGGTGTACCACCTTGCAAAAGCTACCAAACCAAGCTTGAGGACTCTATTTTAGGCCATAAAGAAATTTGAGAAGTTTACACACTTTACCCGACTCCTCTTGAGCAACAAAGTCCGGCAGTGGCTACATGTAAACTTCTTCCTGAAGGTCTCGATGAAGAAAGACATTCTTAACATCCAATTGATGTAAAGGCTAAGGAAAGGTAGCTGCCAAAGAAATAAACATATGAACAAAAAACAATTTGGCTACAAGAGAAAAGGTGTCAGAGTAATCAAGTCCATAAATTTGAGAATATCCTTTAGCAACTAAATGAGCCTTGATATGAGCAACATACCCATCAAGATTCATTTTAATGGTGAAAATCCACTTACAACCAATAGCTTTCTTACCTGCAGGGAGAGGCAAAAGATCCCAAGTACCATTAGCATCTAAGGCAACCATTTCTTCTTTCATTGTTGCACACCAACCAGGATGAGACAAAGCTTGACAACAGTTTTAAGGGTAGAAACAAAGTCTAGGTTACTTACAAAACAATGAGATGAAGAAGAAAGAAGATGAAGAAGAAAGAAGATCATAATTGACAAAAGAAAAAATAGGATGGCGTTAACCTTTTCAAAAAGCAATGAGAGGGTCAAGGTCCGACTGAGGAGTAGTGGATGACATAGACTCAGGTTGAGTGGAAGGGAACAGATCTTCTATTGAAGCGACAAGTGAGGGAAGTGAGTCAAGAGCCCCAAATCTTCTGGAATAAACCTGTTTAAAACGAGGGCGAGTAGATGTTGGTGCAGGAGCAAGAGTAGGATTTTAGGATTAGGATTAGGAGTAGAAGTAGGAGTAGGAACATGAGTGCTAGAAAGTAGCTTAATAGTGTAGACCAAAAGATCATCATCCTCCCCCTTGCGTTTATATATAGAAGAATGTAACATCTACAAAAGCAAGATAACGATTAAGATCAGGAGAAAAACAACATACGTATGATGCCGAGATTAACCAAAAAAAACATAACGAGAGGATTTTGGATCCAATTTGGTAACCTATGGGCAAACATCATGCACAAAACAAGATACAACCAAAAATAAGAGGTTTAACGGAAAATAAAAGTTTAGAAGGAAATAAAATACTATATGAAGTTTCACCATTGAGTACAGAAGAGGGCATATGATTGATAAAAAAACAAGCAATAGAGATAACATCAACCCAAATATGTTTAGGTAACTTCATTTGGAATAGAAGTGCCCTAGCAAGTGCTTAGAAAGTACTTTAAATAGCTGTAGACCAATAAGATCATACAAAATCCTCCCCCTTGCGTTATTTATATAAAGAAGATGTAAACATCTACAAAGCAAGAAAATAACGTTAGATCAGGAGAAAAACAACATACGCCATTGATGCCGAGATTCAACCAAAAAAAAACAATAACGCAGAGGATTTTGGCATCCAAGTGTGGTAACTATGGGCAAACATCATAGAACACAAAACCAAGATACAACCAAAATTAAGAGTCCTAAGTTTTAACGGGGAAAATAAAAAGCTTTAGTGAAGAAATATAAATAATCTATATGAATGTGTTCACCACCTCATTGAAGATTACAGACCAGAGACAGATATGATGATAAAAAAATCATAGCGATATACGAGATAAACAAGTCAACACCAAATATGTTTACGGTAACTTCATTTAGGAATTAGAAGTTTGCCCTAGCGAAAATCCGGATTTTGGATCCAATTTGGTAACCTATGGGCAAACATCATGCACAAAACAAGATACAACCAAAAATAAGAGGTTTAACGGAAAATAAAAGTTTAGAAGGAAATAAAATACTATATGAAGTTTCACCATTGAGTACAGAAGAGGGCATATGATTGATAAAAAAACAAGCAATAGAGATAACATCAACCCAAATATGTTTAGGTAACTTCATTTGGAATAGAAGTGCCCTAGCAATCCCAAGAAGATGTTGATTTTTTCTTTTTGCAATCCCATTTTGAGGAGTATCAACCCATGAGGTTTGATGAAGAATACCATTCTATGACATATATGTTTGGAAATAACTAGATAGATATTATTTAGCATTATCACTTTGCAGTATGCGAACAAAGGTATTAAACTAAATTTTAATCTCAGCACAAAAAGAACCAAAGATAGAAAATATTTCATAATGAGTTTTAATTAAATATAACCAAGTAACACGAGAATAATCATCCATAAAAGTAACAAATTACTGAAATCTAGTTTGTAAAGTAACAAGACATGGACTCCAAACATCTGAATGAACTAACTCAAAAGGGGACAAAGCCCGTTTATTGACTTGAGAAACTAAAGGTGAATGATGATGTTTAGAAAATTGACAAGACTTGCATTCTAAAATCGATAAAGACTGAAACTATGGACAAAACTTCTTTAAAGTAGACAATGAAGGATGGCCCAGACGATAATGCGCCTTAAGAGGAGATAGAGCACCAGCATAAGCCAAAGATAATGAAACTTCTTCATCTAGAAGATAAATACCACCAGAGTCACATTCACTACCAATAATTCACTTTGTCAAATGATCCTGAAACACACCATAAATAGGGTAACACTGCACACAATAGCTTAGTATATGAGCAATTTTATAACAGAAAGTATATTGAAAGAAAAACGAGGCAAACATAATATAGAAGACAAAGGAGGAGATGGAGTGGGATTTGCAGTGCTAATACCCTTAACAGAAGAGGTGGACCCATCAGTTAGAGTAACATGGTGATTAAATTTATCATGTTCTTTTAATGAAGATAAGAGATTAGGGTTACCTGTCATGTGACTTTTGCAACCAGAATCAATGACTCATTCTGAGGTGGATATAAGACATGTATTAAGTGTACCTGAATGGGCAGCAACAGCGACAGAAGGATTAACAAACTTAGAAGAACGGTATTTAGAGAGCTCAGCATACTCCGCAGCAGATATTGTCACATTATTGTCAGATGAAGCAACTACAGAATCTTGAGTGGCCACATTTGCCCTTGGCGGTTTATTTATCAGTTTCTTACAATTCTGTTTAGTGTGACCAGGTTCATGGCAATAGTGGCAAATAATAATACTAGCATCCCGATTAATTGATCCATTAGTACGATTATTTTTTCTTCTTCCTCTGTTTGTTGGCTACCCAGTTACATGATTATGACTCACAAGGGCACTATTTATACGCAAAACCCAGTTCTCTTCTTCTTTAGGAGAAGGGGTATGAGATCCTTTAGTACGCAATAGTCTAGTGAAAGTCTCCTGAAGAAATATAATGTTACTGCCTGAAAGAACCTGTGATTTGACAGCTTCAAAAAATTGGAGAAAGGCATGCAAGAAAACTCATCACAGATTTGTTCTCGTTGAGTTTGTTGAACTTTGACATTGATACTGAAATGCAATAGAGTATTAAATTCCTCGTAAATCCTATTAAATTTCATGAAAGAAGCTGAAGAGGCTTATCTTGCTGATAAGCTCGATAAAATCTCTTGCACACTTCATACACACGAGACATATTACCTTTTTCAGATTACAAAAATTCAATTCTTTAACAAATTCACAATAATTAGTTAAACCAACCACTTCTCTGTCAATAGAATTTCGAATCTGTAGAACTTAGCATCTTCCCTTATCCAACTCTACCTAGTGTCACCAGTTAGTGGATCATCCATTAGATGATCATCTTTTTGAACACTCCTCAAATAAATTCGAATTGTCTTACTCCGATATAAATAATTAGTCATGTTCAGTTTATGTTCTATGATTTTGATCATTGCTGGGACCAACTTAGCGATAGCTTTAGTAGCTTTAGGTTCAGTAGTCATACTTTAAAATTGAATGCTCAACACAAGAGGTAAAGGCACAAAACAATAACTATAACGTGAAGCATTAACACAAATAGAAGCAAAAAAATGACCGTAGCTTGAAGAATCAACACAAACAGAAGCAAAGGCAAAAAACTAACATGACCCGGAAAAGAAAAACCTAAGAAGCTCCTACACAAACTTCGCTGGATTGGAAAGGTCAGTATCGAAATAGACTACTAACATTGTAGAACCAAGCTCGATCATCGAAAACCACTGGACGCGATGCCAACTGCTGGTGCGTGAGACAGAGGCCAAATCTTCTTAGGGAGCGTGAGGGCATTCGCCGGTCGTCAGGCGACTAGATTTGGTCGAACTGTTGATTAGTAGCCTTACTAACTTCCTTGGGTGGCAGTGAGACAAAAATCACTGTCTAGGTGGGTGACCTAGACTAGCAGTAGCGAAACCGAAAACTAGTGAGAAAGTAAAGCAAGTTTCTCACTGAAAGCTTCACAAAAAATAGGGGGAAAAAAAATACAAGCTGAAGGCTCTGATACCATGTAAAACTCAGTTAAGGAAAATATGATTCTTGTTATATTTCATCAATTATATATTAACTTCCTTGAATAGAAGAATGAAAACAAGTGGCAAGTGAGGTACAATAAATGGACATGTCTAGGTGGGTGACCGTAGACTGAGCGCAGGCAGTTAGGCGAAAACCGAAAAACTAGTGAAAGAAAGTAAGATGCAAGATTTCTCAATTGAAAGCTTCACAAACCAAAATAGGGGGGATAAAAAGAATACAAGCTGAAGAGGCTCTTGATAACAACATGTAAGAACTCATTAAGGGTAAAATATGATTCTTGTTATAGTCTTCATCACACTAATATATACTAATAATATAATATATATATATATATATATATATATATATATATATGATACCCACACTCAAGATACCACAACTATTTAGGAAATCTAAAATTCTAATAGAATTCTATATACAAAAGTATATATACCCACACTCAAGATACCACAACTATTTAGGAATCTAAATTCTAATAGAATTCTATATACAAAAGGATTCTAACTTTCCTTAACATATTTTAAAGTAAATACTTATACGTATATGTAAAATTCATTTTAATTTAATTTTTTATTTTGCTTTATTTTATTCAAGAATTAATTATCTATCTCAGGAGGCTATTATTTTATAATAAAAAAGATGAAAAATATAATTTTTCATGAATAAAAAGTGCATTATTTTAAATTTTTTTGGAGGAAATTGTATTGTGTAGTATATTAATTATGTTACATAAATAGTTAATTATGTCATAGCTGAAAAAAAAATCATAATAACACAATAAAATAAGGAAAATAAAGCTGGAAATATTAAAATTATTTAAAAATTTAGTAATTTATTTTATTTAGTGAAAATTTTTAAATATATATAATTCTGAAGAAAGTCGAATCGAAGGCAGTAACTGCCTTCTGTGGATAAAATCACATTGCTAGTCAAAACTTTTGAAATCAAGTTATACTTAGTGATTTTAATTAAAAAAATTTTACTTATTATATTGCAAGAGAAAGAGTGTTTGGAATCAAGTTATGCAATTTTATTCTTCAACTTAGATTTTAATTAGCATGAAAATGAATATAAATTCTTTAAATGAAATATACTTTTTCTAGTTTACTAATTTTACCCCTTGGATCTGAAAGGTAAAGAAAATCAAAATAATTTTTTGACTTGTATATTTTTGAAATAAAATAGAAGAAAGGGGATTATAAATTAGTAATGTGGATTATTATTCTGGAATAAAAGGAGTATTTAATATATGATTTTTTTAGTAAGATAATTATATACTGAAACACCCTGAATTTTTATTTTCGAAACATTTGAATTTTTATTAAATCAAAATTTGAATTTTTGACGGTATGGGCCGTAAATAGTGAATTTTTGACGGTATGGGCCGTAAATAGTGAACAATCTTAAGTTGAGTTCAAGTTTTGCAAATTGGGCCTAAGCCCAAATATAATGTCGAAAATTTTGAAATCGAGAACAGTTAAATTTCGAGTAATAATATGTAACTCTAGCAATTAATCTATTATGTGTATATATAAATTAAATTAATTTTTTTCCAAAAAAAATCAAATTGAATTGTCGAAGACCAGCTTGAATTTTCTGAAAACCAAGTGGAAACCCTACAAACCGAGTAAAAATCGAGCCGAATCATTAAATTAGACCAAACCGGTTCGAATCGAACCGGAATGGTCTAGAAGCCCAAGATTTTTCTTTCTTTTGAGTTATCTTTCTTTTCTTTTCTTTTTTTCTTTTTCTTTTTTAATTTTTTTTCTTTTGTTTTACTTTTCTTTTCTATTTCCCTATCTTCTTCCTGCGCCAGTGCCAGCCGCAGACGCTCCTTCTCCCCGGCCTCCCCGTTCCGGCCACAGAAGCGATCGAACCTCATTTACTGCGGCGTCGGCCCTCCTCGCCGCAGCTCGCTTCCGGGCTTTCCTCTCCTGCCTTCGCTTTTAGCAGTACGACAGAAGCGCAGGCGGAGCCGCGACTCGCTTCGATCGGGAGATCGCATCGAGCCTCCTGCTCCTTCGTGTTTCCTTGCGACGCTGCCTTCAACGACGGGCTTGACTCTCTTCCGTGCTCCTTAGCGAGTACTCCGGTCCACTTAGCTCCGGTCACTGCTTCCCCTATCTCCGACCTGCCAGTCTTAGTGCAAAGACAAGAGAGACCGACCCCGATTTGGTATTGCCGGCCCACCTCAAGCAATTTTCGACTACTCTTCAATTAGGTAAGCCATATTGTGACCTTAAATTTAATTCATGAGTTCTTTAATCTTAGTTGAAGGATTTGAGGTATATAATTAAGCTATTGTAGAAATTTAAATATTCAGCTACTATTTATATCAATATGATTAGGAATTTCAATCTGTGCTCTTTAAATAGGTATATAAACTAAATCCTATATAGAAATGGTTAGATTTTTGCTTCTATTATAAATATTTGTGAAGAATTAAAGATTCTTTATATTGGCAGTAGCTATTTAGCCATTAGTTAGCCATTAGCTCTGAGACTTTACGGCTAAGTAATTGAAGGTAACTGTATACTCAGTATGCTAAACTCTTGATGGGACAGTTTTGATCTTTACCTTTCTAATTGATATATAACCCCGAAATACTGTATAGAAATAGGTAGATTATTTGCTTAAACTTTACAAAATGCTTTGAAAAAAAAAAAAATCAAGGATCTCTTAAACTATGGCAGCAAACTAACTTTAATTATTTACATGAGTCTAACTTTTTTTTTAAGACAGGAATGGTATAACACAAAATAAATTATCGTTGAGGAAACTGACATCTGCATTTATGTTGAGAAATGAATTGATTATCATGTGAAACATGAATTTTGGTGGAGAAACTTAAAGGCAGCAACTATATTGTTCATCTTGATGAGTTTGATAACGATGAGATTAGAAATGGCATATTAAAATGAATTCTTTGTTTTTTTTAGATGAATTTGCTAGTAAATGAGTTTAAGCTGGAATTTAGGATTTCTATGTAATGGCGGTTGATGCGAGGTTAGCTTTTATGAGTTTTGGCTAATTGACAACAAGAATGGTTGTGTTTGATTTGCTTAAGATGATACGGACTTATTGGGTATATCTTTATTTAAAATGAAGTTCAATCTAAGAACATTTAAATTAAACCTCGGAAATTTGATGTCTTTTGCAATAATTTGGAGAAAGGAAGATATGTACATAGTTTCTATTTGACTCATGAAGCATATCTAAATAAATTTGTGTAAGGTAATCAATTAAAGAATATTAAGAATTAATTGTGGAATGTAATATTGCTACATTAATTGTTGTGAATGTAATATTGCTATTTGAGCGAGGACGGGTATCTTGATTGGTTGATCGCCCCGCATTGATGGATACGAGGCTGACGATACTGTGATTGATAAATTTTTGCTTAAGTATATTAAAATGGTGATGTTTTTAAGCAGGCTAGACAGTCGTCCAATTTTTAGGGGAGGTGCTTGCCGAAATGTTCGATCAGACAAATTAGATAAATTTTTACTATTAACAACATCAATTAATAAGTTATTTTATAGACTAGTTTCTATACATTTGCGTACCATAATCAAACTAATAGTGCTTTGATTATTTACTTACTCCTTTATCATTTATTTAATTATTTACATAATTACTTTATTTATTTTCATGTTATTGTTTTATTTTCATTATTTACTTTTTAATCTATCATTGCTATGTTTATTTGTTAACTATTACTTTATTTATTTGCCATTTCGAGATGAACTGTCTGCATGTGATTGCCCATTTCCGATTGTTTAACTTGCATATTTCTGCAATAACTGCAATGCTTGGACTTAGTTGTATGTGAAAATGCCTTGCTTTGTTTGTGTGGAATCGGATTGAAGTGGGTCCACCATGGGTTGTGAGACTGTTTCTGTTATACGGATCCCTGCCATTCTGATTCTGTTATACTGGATCCTGATTCTGTTTCTGTTAGCCGGGTAAATGGAGCATCGCGCGGCCCCCGTGCCTGGCAACTTACCGTGTGCCGTTACTTGTTAACCCCACGGCGTTGGCTTCCTTTATTGGGCGCCACCGGATAATCTAGATTTGATCGCCCAGCCGCCAGGGTGCCCCTTTGTGCCAGCCGCCTGAAAATCTACGATTTGATTTGGAGACGACCGGGTTGCCTCCTGTTGGTACTGAAAACAAGAAAAGATGAGAATGGAAAAATAATGAGAGGCGCTGGTCAACAAGTGAGGATAGACCGGTCGGCCAGCTATGGGAATCGGCTCCCTGGTGCGCACATGTGAGAGGATGAGCCAGTGGAAGGCCCGCCGGCGAGGACGGCTCATCGGCCGGTCGGAAGGTTCGGTGGACTCCACTGACTTAATTTTCCACGGGGGGTTCGGTGACTCCACTGACTAATTTCCACGTGATGTGATTATATGAAGATGTTAATAATTGTGAGTGCTGGTGATATGCCATTTGTGTGGCTGGCTGTGTGAGCATATACCTAGTCGGATGACTAGGTTGATATTTTTACACACTTGTGTGACTGCGTGTGTTGTGCAATAATTACTACTGCTTAGAAAACTCACATGTCTTGTTTGATTTTTTTTCAGGAAGTAAGTTTTTCCTTTAATTCGATTTAGGCTATGTTTGTTCGACGCAGGGCAATAGAGAAATTTTTCTAGTTCCATAAATATTTTGCTATGTAACTATATGTATAAAAAAAACTATGTATACCAAATAGTTAGTGACTCCGCAGTTGTAGAATTTACCAGAATTTACTTACATCCTTAGTCGTGTCATCATCGTTAGACCGAAATGATCTGTGCTGAGCCTATATTAAAATATGATGCTATTGCTTAATTGACTGAATTACCAAATAGTTAGTGACTCCGCAGTTGTAGAATTTACTTACATTTAGTCGTGTATCATCGTAGACGAAATGATTCTGTGAGCCTATATTAAAAATATGATGTATTGTTAATTGACTGAATGTTTAAAATTATATGGAGATAATAAAATTTTAGTGTTTCAGGCTTACTACGGGCCTCGGGGGCCTTAAGCTTACCTGGGCCCTAGTGCCGGTCCGGCTCATGGAATCGGGTCGTGACATATACATAAGAAGTATAATTAATGAATATTGAGGATCAATTTTATATAATTGGCAGATGGTTATAACTATAATCAGCTCGAGAATATTTAGAGGAGAATATGCAAAGCAAAAAATCAAAGAAATGTTTAAAGGAATATATGCACTTAGAGTAAATTCAAAATTCAAAAATTTACAGAAACACATGATCAGGGTTAGCCATAGATTGCAAAAGATAATTAATATCGGCTACGATATTAATAAGGTGGAGAAAGTGAATGTCATAATTATGATAATCTATCTATGCTATTTTTGACTTGATAATTATATTTAGAATTATGACTATGTGAATACAAGTGATAAATTTATATTTGTATTTCTTTTATTTGTGCACAAAAGATCATGACAATGAGTCACGTGCAAAAAGTTTATGCAAGTTTACCGGTATCCCAAATCATTTATCGTGTTAACAATGTCAATTTATATTGTCAAAGTCTATGTCATATCCGTGTCTGACATTGTTATATTATAACTATAATATTTAACAAGGAGAAAGGGAGAGAAAATATTTGTATGATAAAGGTATTGGCTAGCATTAAAAAAATTAAAATTTATTGCTTGTGTTACGGTCATGGTGTATCAATACATTTATTACCTTCAAAAAAGTATAACAAATGTCTTTGAATCGTCAACAAAACACCATATTCGTAAACATTTTTTAGGGAACGCCATTCTTGTAATTACATTTTGCTTAAACATTATTTTCTTAAAAAAAATTTTTTTAAAAAAAATCCTACATGTTATTCTATTTTGCTTCGTTTGTTTATTTAGGCCCATGAAAATTGTTATGCATGTTTTGCAATAACAAATATGTCTTATATGCATTATTACACTAAGCGGATATGCATCCTAACCTTTTAATAAAGATGAATGCTCCAATAATGATATGCATATGATAAAACAGAAGTATCATTTTAAGAATAAGTTTTAAAGAATAGAAAATAGAAACTATGAACTCAGAAACACATATCAAAGAAGAAAACCAAATAATTGAACCGATATATGATGGGATTGGGGAATTGTCTATCCTATACAGAACTTAATGAAACCTTTTACACTACAAAAAAAATAGCTTTTTGCAATCGACCAATCGGTCGCAAAAAGCAAGAAATTGGTCGCTAATCAAAAGTAGCAACCGATTTGTGACCGATAACAATGTGTCGCAACAACGTTCGTCGCAAAATAGTTTGCGACCGATTTATCTGTCGCAATATTAGAAAAGCAATCGCAAAATTTAGTCGCAGAAATAGTCTGTCGCAATTATAAAAAATGGTCGCAAATCGGTCGCAAAAATTTGGTCACAAATAGGTCGCAAATTTTAAATTTATAGTTTATATTTTTGGTTGCAGTTCGGTCGCAAATCCGTCGTAAAATACAATAAAAAATTAAATATTATTATAAAACCATAATTTTCTGTACCTGTAAAAATTGGCATATATATATATATATCACAAATGCAATTCAAAAACAATATAAAAATGTAATTTGTAAAAATTGGCATATATATATATATATCACAAATTGCAATTCAAACAATATAAAAATGTAATGTTAATGCTAAACGTAATGTACTGACAACAAAACTTTCGAAAAAACCAACTGAACAGCTAAAACAAGGTCCAAAATCAAAAAATCTACGTTGTTTAGTCATCTGCACGATCCAATGTCGAATCGCCCGGAGGAATACCTGTGCGATGTCGCTATTAGTGTCCCGCAGGGGGTGACTTCTAACGACGGTATGGCTGCTGCTGAAGCGAGATGTCGAAACATTTCGATCTGTAGCAGACGCAGAATCAGACGAAGAAGTACCAGCACCGGGCTGACCAAACAGCCGCATGACATGCGCTCTAAGCTCTGCAAGCTGTCTCTCCTGCTCATCAACACGAGCCCGTAATACAGAAAACTCTTCGGCACTGTGCTCGGGCGGTGGTCTTGAGGTGGCTGCAGAAGCATGAGATGCTGAGCCACAGTAAAATTGTGATGCCTGAGACCCGATGCCATATACCTTCCTCTACTTCTCGCCCCCTACATCCTCGAGATAAAGTGCTACCTCATCAATTCTTGACTAGATAAAGTCGCTCTGCTACCTCATGCAATTCTTGACTCAGCTTTCAGCGATTCAAGCCTGCAGGAAAGTAAACAAGACGCTCCCGAACTGTAGTATAGCCTTCTCCTTGAAAAAAACAAAAAAATTAATTAATCAATGCAGTTGGCAAGCTTTATTCCAATGCAGTTGCAAGCTTTATTATATTGAACTTTGTACATCTTCGCAACAACTAGAGGGTAAATATAAATATTCTTCATTGTTACTTACATTGATGCTCACTGCACGTTTGTTGACAAACGTATTAAGATCGTGGTCCTTCATGTGAGTGTATGTAAACACCTCAATCGGTGTGGGCTCACAACCAAATTTTTCAGCCTGTAATGAATTTTTATGCATGATATATTAAGCATAGTGTCTATCCTACTTCTGACATGTAGGCTGGGGAGGGCAATTTAAAGGACAACATGAGTAAAACATGTTTCCAAATATTTGAAGGACAACATGTGCAAATTGAGATTGTGAGTTTTGAATCCTATGTTTCACCATTTGAAATTTCAAATCTTGCTCAAGTAGTGAATTTGCTCCATATGTACCTCTCTCTTTTGTAAAGAAGTGATCCCTTGCTATATCTATAAGATCCATTCTTCCAAAAATTTATATGCATCCACATCTTTTTAATAAAGATGATTGTTACTTACTAAGATGACTTCATATATTGTTTCACCCTCAACTTTAAGTTTTCATATATTGTTCACCCTCAACTTTACAGTTGTTGCAATGTCAATCTATTCTGACTCTTTATCGTTAATTCTCAGTCTGAACTTCAACCTACTTTGCTTGCCAATTTCACTACTACTAATTTGATCTTTATACCAGATTTCACCCTAACTTCTAACATTTTGCAATAGCACCCCATAAATTAATATTCAAGACTTAAATTGTAACTAACAAAATTACGATTCACTCCTTGACCTTGTGCTTAGATTAACTTTATCACATCTTGTGTCGACATGAGCGGAGTTCAGGGTTAATTCAAGTAAAGGATAATTCTCTATTATTCATTTTAATATTTTATAAATTCTCTGCTTTTATTGATAATAAGTCAATATTTAAAATTAATTATTTGATAAATGAACTTTTTTTTAAAAAAATTAGAATATAATCTATATTATTGGTTTGATTTATATAAATTTTTAAAATAATATAAATCTTAAAACAAATCTACTATTCACATCTTATTTGACTCCTAAAATTCATCTAGACAATTAGTCAACGTTTTTTTATCAAAATGGAATATAAGACAAATAATTATGATCCTATTTTAAAAAAAAACATTCATGTAACAAAAACATTAATTTTTTAAATTTTTAGTTTATTATAGATTAAAAAAAAAATAATATAAAAATATTAAAAAATAATAATAGAGATTCGTCCCATATTACTTAACCCAAAACTCCTCACTCACATAAATGTATCTAAGTTAATTCAACCCCAAGGTCAAGGACGTGAAACTCTATATTAAAAATAATAATAGAGATTGTCCATATTATTAACCCAAACTCCTTCACTCACATAAATGTATTAAGTTAATTCAACCCCAAGGTCAAGAGTGAACCTATTTTTTATTTACAATTTAAGTCTTAATTATAATTAATGGTGCTATTGCAAAAAATGTCAAAGTTCAGGGTGAAATTGATATAAAAGTTAAATTGGAGTGAGATTGCAATAAAACTTAAAATTGAGGATGAAACAATATATTAAACCAAAATTTGAAAATGTTAATAACGCCCACGTTCTTTAACAAATCCTTGAACTTTCTATTTAATGAATATATTCTTAATATTTTTTTTTTATATTTTAATGTGTATAATTACATCAATTTGAATTTCCTTCATTAAATTTTTACCTTAATTTTATCTATTCTTTCAGTGACCAAATATTCTCGATCATAAATTCCGTTGTCATAACATCTATTTTTTCTAACTTTAGAGTGTCTAAAATACAATTTCTATACCTAATAATTTCGTAGAATATTCAATTCTACAATTAGTATGATTTTACCTTAAACCCTTTAATAATGATTTATAAAACTATTATAGTTCTAAAATAAAATTTGGAATCTTCCAAATATCATAATTTTCACTAATTATTTAATTTTAAAAAAATCTTTTAGTATACATGTTTTTATTCGTTTAATTTGAATTACAAAGATTTGTATTTAATATTTCTTTAAAATTTACATATCTAAATATTATATTAAAACAATAAAAATTACCTCAAATTTTTTATAAACTTCAAAAAATAATGTAATTATGTATTCCTTCTTTCAATTGTTCCTTTAAAAAATAAGTTCATTTCTGTCTTACAGTAATGATATCACTACTTCTATATATTTTTTAATACATGGTATGAGAGGATCTGAAGCTAACATTATTCAACGATTAAGAAGTTCTATATGAAAGTTAATTTATATTGTCGAGGATAATTTTATTGTTTCATTGAATAAGTTATATAATTTTAGATACACATTCGTTGCTAAACCGTCACGTGTAACATTTTCATTCATCGCCCTTTATGGGCACGAGAGGATCTTAATGGTTATTTTGCTTCCTTCCACATTTTCTTCAACATATCCAAAGAAGGGAAAATTACTTTCCCACTTATTTTCCGTCCTCCATAAAAAATACCTATTTCCAAACAAGCTGGAAAAGTCCAACAGAAAAACGTATGTTTGAGTTGAATTTTGTAGTCAACCTGAATTAATAGCTTACTGAGTTGAATAATTAAGAATTAATATAAAAAAAATCATTATGGAATGATTAAGAAGTGGATTATGATGTCATTTTATAATTGTCGGAGGTAGTTTTATCCTTTAATTTGATAAATCATATAAGTTACTAAATCAATTATAAAAAAATCTAATTTAAAATAACTATCATCTATCACTTGAGTACATCATTAATCATTGCGAAAAATTTTGCTTTTATAGACAGCAGTTAATTCATAGAAAGCACTTCGAGTTCGGATAGTAGCTTCAAAATTGATATGTTGATTTTTTTTCATTTTCATTCATATATGTTTATGTACGGTGATAAATACATGCAATATTATATATTAATTTATATATTTATTGTACGTGAGAAGAACAGTTGAAAATAAATTTTGAAAAAATAAAAATTTAACAATTTGATAATCCTAGAATTCGATGAATTTAGAATAATTTATGCATGTTTAGAATTTATGTTGTATTTAACATCTGCCCATGTATTCGATTATCATCAGAATATACATATATTAATATTATTTAATGCAAGGATAATTATATGCACTCGTTTTAGAATTTCATGTCTGTATTATAACCATCTGCCCATGTATTTGCGATTATCATCAGAATATACATATTTATTAATATTATTTAAATTGAAATTCCATTTAATTATTTAACTTTATATATAATTTGAACACAACCAGCAACATCGAAAGATAACGATGGATGATATATCGTTCATTGTGTCACAAACAAAAATTGAAATTTCTCCATTAGGTCCCATGAAACCTCCCTATATACTTTATTAAGGCAATTTATGCATGTTTAGAATTTATGTTGTATTTAACATCTGCCCATGTATTCGATTATCATCAGAATATACATATATTAATATTATTTAAATTGAAAATTCCATTTAATTATTTTAACTTTATATATAATTTGAACCAACCAGCAACATCGAAAGATAACGATGGATGATATTTCTCATTGTTCACAAACAAAAATTGAATTTTCCATTAGGTCCATGAAAATTTTTTTATTACAAATGGACTCTTAATTTAATGTTAGGGTGTAAACATTCTTAACCTTTTCATTTTGGGTTGCAACTGTTGCAAAGTTCAAATTAAAATGTAAGTACAACAACCTCCTACGTTCGTGGTATAATTGCACATTAAGCCCAAGAAATTAACGCAAGTATCAATATCGCATGTCCACCTACCCCATCAAATTTAATTAAATTGCACATGCTTATCTTAGAAAAGAAAAATGAGGGATCAACATTAATTAACAATCATCAATTAACAATCATATGTAGAGAGATTTAACAAAAATAAACATTGAACAAGTTCATGAAACAAGCGAGAAAGATCAATAAAGAAATAATACTTTCAAGTAAAGATTCTCGCAATATGCAGTTACTCAAAAATCAAAATGAAAACCAAATGAGCGGGTAAAATATGGGAACGTAGGACAATAGCAAGAGATAGCAAATGTAAGAAAATTCTCCAATAATTTCCTTTCCACAGTATCAAAAATGGCACAGCTGAAGGTCTAGAAAGAAAGAATCCACTTTCTACGAATATACAGTCAAGTTGCATTTCCAGAAATTCAGATGAAAAAATGATTTCGTAACATATGACTTGCTTTACAATCGGCTAAATGTATAGATTCGCCCTTGAAGTTTACGCAATTTGCCTTGTAATACCTTCAAGTTTGCAAAATATCTATCATAATTTGACACTTTCACATTCAAAAATAATCATGCCCCTCGCCAAAATAAAATGTAAAAGTACATGATCATAATTAAACTCTTACAAAGTTATTTCATTTGAGCGAGGAATATGATTTAACTGAAATGTGAAAATGTAAAGTTACAATAAGTCTCCTATAAACTTAAGAATGCCACAAAACAAATCACTTAAACTTCAGGAGCAAATTTACGCATTAGGCCCTTTACAATCATACCAACAATTGCCATAAACATGCCAACAATTGCCATAAACATACCAATGATTGCCGCTGCAGGATCAATTGTTTGCAAGACATTCATCGCATGCCAAATAATGTCATTAGAATCCAATTACCAGGGAAGAAAAATCCATTGTTTTGCATTTGGAAGCTTACTAGTACAATATATGCAATTATCCATTAGAGTGACCTTTATCGATCTCTAACTATGAATATGCATCCATCTACATGAGTCACAAACAAGCCTTTGTTCACAATCTTTTTCTTTGACCAGAGGTTCATGATTCATATATAAAGCTATGGTCATTCTAAATAACACTAATTGCCTAGAAAAAGAAGCCACCGTCACCTTCATCTGAGCATAAAGTCTGTCTCCAGGACCATCAAGCCCAGCAAGAACCCAGAACCCAGGTTTCTTGCTCAGCGGCTAACAAGCCAACCCGGTTTGATTAGGACATCTTGCTTAAAGTTCCGGCCTTTGACAGAAGTGGACTCACCTTGACGGCGGAAGCACTGCAACAATTGCAAGATACAGTTTTAGCGATCAAACTTCGAGACTTTGCTCCAACACATGAATTAGATAGTAGTCTGATGAGAACAGCAAATTTCATTGCATTTGATGATTCTTCAGTCGGTTTCAACTGTATAATTTATTTCTATGCTTTAATGAAAGATACAAACTAAAACACAAGACCTTATCTAACCAAATGCTATTACCAGTCATCGGAAGCAATTGCTTTATTTTTATTCCTTCTAGGAAACATGCTCAGTTAGCAAGTTGTACCACAAAGGTTCAAGAGAAGAGTAAATGACTCCTAGAGCTAGTTGGGATTGAATCTATCAGCTAATTGGAGTTAGATGGTATTAAATAAATATCCTCCCCACATCGTATCAGCAAACCAACAGACCCCGGCCCAGCATTAGGGAATGTGAATATGCATATTCTATTGATAACCATGCTAACATATTTGGACTGCGACATAAAAATGGAGAACAAATAAATGGAAGAAAAATGAAGTTGCAGGAATGATAATCAGCTTTATTGTATTCTAGATATACATAGATCCTGTTTTAGACTGACATTTGGATATTAATAATCATAAAGAAAAATGTGACAAATGGCAATCTACCTTGTAACATACAACACTGTCATCTGGGTACATTGCAAACAGTTTGGTCCCAAGGCGTGCATGACAAGAATCACAAAGGCTCTCATCATTAATCTGCACATGTCGTGACCTTTCCTCCAATCTTGCAAGTCTTGCATCAACATCTATAGCACGGGACAGATTATGCACAATCTGAAAAGCAGGTTGCAGATCAACATAGGCTCTAAAATGGTGCCAGACGAGAATATACTAGAAGATTAGGTCAAAACAATGTTGATGCCAAAAATGAATTTCTTTTAATCATAAATAAGTTATGAAACATCCATTTTAATTTGGAGTATATCTCCATATGCACATTCATAAAGTTCCAATTTGTTAACAAGGTCAAAAAGGCAGAGTGAAGCACTGTAATCAAAGGAACCAGGACTCTTGAAAATAGTCAATAAAGCAAAATAGACAGACACAAATGAAGGACAAAAAGATATTTCACACCCATCAAAAGAGAAGTAGTGGAAATAGGAAGATGGTCATGGAGGAGAATCTGCAACTCTATCTGCAACTCTTTTTCATTCAACCACAACTTCTTATTCACTTAATAAATAGTTACTCCACGTGCAGCCCTGACTCCTGTATGCAAGCCTGTTTCTAAAGTTATCATCTTAGAGACACAGGGAGGCTTTAATGAGAAGAATCACATCTCTTTGTTATTTCAGAGGGTCACTCTTCATTGGGGGACTATTTTGCTGCTTATGCATTTTCTGATGTTCTGAATTCCCAATCCAGAATATGATCTGGCTTTTTTGGCATATCTTGCAACCCCTTGGTGACCTCAAGAGGACTTTCTTCACTCATCAAATAGTACACTATAAGATGAAACCCTGTTACGTATATGGTAGGTTCCAAAATGAAAATACATCACAGGATTAACTATTGACTCCCAATAAGGACCAATATTAGATTCAATATATTCTAAAGAAGGAAATTTATTCCCTCAAAGTTTTGCTTATTTGTTTGCATCCATACAACTGGGTGCCATATGTTACAAAAGCAATTATATGAAAATTTGCATTTATCAAGTTGAATGGCACTAAGATCTACTGGGATGTATATATCAGTCAAACATGATATTTTACTAAAGAAAATTCAATACAATATCAAAGCAATCCATTTTGCCTATGTATGATAAGCAAAGGATCTTACTTGTCCTTGACGATAATGGTGCAGCCGAGCCCTCAGCATTCGTAATATTGTATCAGAGGCAAGTTGAAGGGGCATATCTGGTGACAATGTCTGCAGTGTAAAACCTTATTTCTCAATAAGAATACTGGGGGGAAAAGAATTAATAAGATAAAGTAATTTAGTTAATTGTTCCAGAAGAATTAATGTGTTTCTTTAAAATTTATCACAATTTGCCAAAAAGTATTTATGCATGGGCAACTTTTGATGGGTAATGTAACTTGAAATATAACCCTTCCATCATAACCAATTTCTCTAGTTTGCCTACCCTTGCCTGTCTTTACAGTCCTGCCCAGATCCTAATTACGAGAACAAATGTATCAATATAAATTGGATCAATACAGGCATGGTTATACTGACGTTGTACCCATTAATCAACTGTAATCTACCTTACTTGAGTAGTGGCATGATTTTCAAGTATGATCCAAAGGGAAATATACTGGAAAATATTTTCTATGAAATGTTATTACTAATTATTATATTGCATTATGCATTACTTAATTATCATATCTATTCTCAGGAAAAGTCCCGAATACTAGGATTCTCAAATTAGGGGCGATGAACAAAACTAACATCATGCTTCATGGAATAAAAAGCAAATTAGCTTGTGCATGTTGAGAGTACAAAATATTTTAGCAATTACTTTCTCAACTCAAAAGCACACCAAGAAATGTAGTCTACTGTTTTTTCTTTCTTTTTTTTTTTTTTCTTTTGTTTTTTCTTTGGCAGTGAGCAAAGACAGACCCACGTTAGTGCCCCCCTTGACATGCTGAAAAACATTAAGGATGTAATGGTCCTTTTAGTATTTAATATATAAAGATTAAAAAAAAAATACTGACCAAGTGGTCACTAGCCACCCCCTCCCCCCTAACAATTTAAAAAACATTAAGGGTGTAATTGTTTTCCTACCTAATATATAAGAAAAAATTAGAATAGTGGAGCCATGGATGGAGGAAGCCAATGATATTTTGACAAATCGACAGTCTGTAGCCATTGTATTATACTTTGAACTTTTTAATATCTTATTAACCCACCCCCATAGTTTCATCTATTAATATCAGATCCACTCCGAAACATTTATGGAAGAGAGAAATATATGTCAACATAAAATTCAATCCCTCCTACAATCCTTCAAATCCTTTCACCAAAATGCTATATATGATTTGTGCTATTTGCAAATCTCCACAACATTTTGCAATTCAAGTACAAGAGAGTTGAGACAAATTGCCCAATCGGAATAAGATACCAAGCCATTACACAAACTTTTACTCCAAAATAAAATATATGTTGAATTCCATAATTAGGTTCCTGATGAGTTTATTTGTCTCAATAATGAAAAAGATATTAAAAAAAAATCTTGCTAGAATAATTAAAAATTAAAATATAAGCTCAAAATAAAATTCAGTTTGCAAATAAATTTATGCAAGTTCATTAACTTAGAGATTTCTATAAGAAAAAATAATATACAGTACTTGTCAGCAAGAGTTTGTAAACAAAATAAATGCATTAAGGTTTAATAAGATAAAGAAATAAAAATATGCACTTATAGACAATTAAAGTTTATGAATTATTTTAATGCTGAACTTTAATTAAAATTGTGATCTCAAATAAAATGTAATATTTTGTCATAAAGTAAAAGTAAATAGAATTATGTATCTTACTTTTAAATACATAAATATATTATTATACAATCTTGAATCTAAATGATCAACATTTGAAAAATATCTTGAGATTTGAGTAATTTATTTATAACCTTTTTTACGCTAAATATATATCTTTTAACATGGTATAAAAGTATTTTTGAATTGGGCCCTCCTAATTAAGATTTCTGCATCTGTCACTGTGTGTGTATGGTTGTTGTTGTTTTTTTTTTTTTTTTTTTGCTGGTGTGTGTATTGGGTTGTTGTTGTTTTTTTTTTTTTTTTTGTTGGGGGGGGGGGGGGGGGGGGGGGGGTGTGTTTGTTAGTTTTTGTAGAAAGGGGGGTGTGTTTGTAGTTTGTAGAAAAGGAGTGGTTTAGGCATCTGGGATGTCTGGACGTGATGCAAGAGAGAGAGAGATGTGTTGGTTTGATACCTCCAAAACTTGCAGAGGATCTAGAGATTCTCCATGGTTATGCAGAAGGCGAACTGCAGCCTTAAACATAGGCTCCTTACCATTTTGTGGATCCAAATACATATCAAGTAACCTGAGAGTTTATATCACAAATAACTTAAACGAAGAATACAAGAAAACCAGTATGCAGAGTTTGGATAAATGGACAAAATGAGAACAGCAAAACAAGGAATGAAACAAACTGCATATATGCATCTGGTCTGCCAATCTCAGCACAATATTGTTCAGCGGCTTCACTGTCTTCCAGTTTCCTGAGACATCATTGCATGAGATAATTAGATATGCTAAAAATCTCTATAATACACGATGTTCATATGCATTGGCTGGGGGGCATTGGGTGGGTGGGTTGGCAGGGGCAGAAATTCTGGTAACTTATAATCAAGAAGCATCCTAAGCAGTGACTCCAAAAAGCAGTAATTGTATTTCCTTGTGCAATTAGGATATTTTGGTTATAGAACAGAGTTCAATTTTTTCTACAAAATGTTTGGTTAAAAGAAAATTGCTTCAAATAATGCACTGACACAAAAAGATACCAACATGATTCAGATTAGAAGATGTTCCCAGCTAGCTTTAACAATTTATTGCATTTTATCTCTATTCCTATCCTTACTAAGGTTACATTCTTGGAACGGCCGTATATACATACTCATAACTCCTATTTCCCAAAGAATTACTCATAACACCAGTCTGTGATTATCCAGGGATTTATTTGACCTACAAATGTGACATCATCCATCAAGCTATGGAGCAATGAATGTCAAATCGCCCTAACAAGTTTATCCATAAGCTACATTACTAATTTCCTTGAGATCTTCAATATGATGGATAGAACTTGAAACTCAAAGACATACCTACACCTGAAACTTAGGAATGAGTAAATGATTGGAATCATCCATCACAATGCTAGATACTGTAGATAGATAAATGATAAAAATTTCTATTGAATGTGTAGACTTTCTTTGGTGGTCAAACAGAATTTCAAAATGCCGACAAGAATTGCCCAGTCAACACGGTTCAAAAATTGCACAAGCTGTTGCAGAACAAAAAGCCCAGTTTATCTATTAGCAACCGAAACGAGTGCAGGCAAAAAGGATGACTAAACATGAACAACTATGAAACATAGGATACCCAGTATAAGGCCTATTTATTTTCTAACTAGAAAGCAAAATAACATACTGACAACACATAAATATTATTCTTACAAACACAATAATACTTGAATGGTAGAAGAAAATACAACATAAATAGTTCAAATTTTTGAATCTGGTAACAAGTCTTTCTCAGTTAAGTCTCATGTATATCAAAACTGGAAATAAAAATAGGTGGCCACTGGCTATTGCCATTGGTATTTTCAAAAAGGTTTGAAGCTTACAGGGCCAAAATTTGAAGAACCAATGTCTCTTGCCCCAATTTTCTGTATAAGATAGCCTGTCAAAGAAACAAGCAATCAATGACAAAGGAGCAAAATTGATAATTTTTGCAATTTGAAAGCATTAATAACATCCATGCTAACCCTAAGAGCAAGAGCAGACAGACATAAAGGACACAACTACCAATGAATTCAGGACGCCTCATTATAACCAAACAAGCAGAGTCAAAGACCACAAAGAAAGAAGCTCCAAAAGACCTTTTCCAGCCATAATTCTGATCCTTCAATCAAGTCAAGGACCTCCTCTGGATCATACAAGTCTGATGATAACAAAAATATCTGCAGCCTTTCTCGTACAGGGCTTTGAAAGATTGAGTTTCCCCCAAAACTGGAACATCTTGCCTCCTCTAACCTTCCACCAACAGGGTTTACAGGGATACTTCCCTCAACAAAGGTTTCTATTGCTGATTTTGCAAGTGAAAGAGCATATAGTGTGTGGAAATGGGTATCAACAGACTCTTGATCTTCAATCAGCCACTGGAGATACCTGCACAATACAGAGATGCAATGCAATGTCCTTGACAAAAAGGTCAAACGAAAACAGAAAAAGAATATCTTAATGATAAAGGAAAGAACTAGTAAAACCATAATGAAAACGTTATAAAAACAGAGTCTGTCAAACAGTTATGACAAAGATACAGTGATTCAAAATTCAAATTGAAAAAATTAAATATAAGGGGACTTCTCCGGAGAATATCTCAACACTAAAGGCCTGTCTTCAGGAGGCATATTAACTATCCAAGGCCAGCAATTGAGCTAATCAGATATTAAAACAACAAAAAGTATTAAGAGTAAAGCATGAAGAATGGACATTTGGCAAAGAATTGTGAGATATAAATTCAAAAAACACAAGGCTATGTCTCATTAAAAACTTCCAGTAGAAGAAATTATCAAATTAATAACCAAAAACTTCTCCTGCTACTCATATGGATGACAAATCTTCAAGAAATTCTTAAGCCGTTAAGCTATAATCTATTAAACAAGAGATCAACGTACCTTTGTAGTATTTCTACCTTTTTAGGATCAATGGCAGCAATGACTTCATCTGCAGTGAAAAATTGGACTTGCATGAGAGATCAAAACTTACTATTTAAAGAAACAGGGGTGTCAGAGCTGTCAAGTTAACAGAAAACCACAAGCGATATTGGCTAATGTTGAAATCTTTGTTATTAAAGTCAATATTGTCTTTCCTAGTTTAGGTTTATTGTCTTTCCTAATTTAGGTTTATTCCTATTTAGATTACTTCCTATATTGGAACAATCTTGTGTATATTATTGTCTTTTCCTAATTTAGGTTTTAATTCCTATTTTATGAATTATCCTTATTGGAACAATCTTGGGTTATATATATAGTGGTGGAAGAGATTGAAAATATAACACACAATTAAAAGAAAATTAACGAAATATTCTTTTCAACAAGGTATCAGAGATTGGTCGGGAGTTGATTTACCTTGCCATACTAGACCAGAAATTGCCTATGCTGTAAGTTTAGTGAGTCCCAGTAACATGCATGACCCTCGGAGTTCACTTAGAAAGCTATGCATCGATTCTAAGATATTTTAAAATCAGCTCTTGTAGAGACTTATTTTTCTAAACAATGGCCATTTGACAATAACAGGGCTATACAAGATGCGGATTGGGCTGGTTCCTGGATGATAGAGAATCACCTTCAGGATATGTGTTTTGTTGAGGAACCTTGGTCCATGGAGAGCAACAGAGCAGAGCTATGGCACAAGGAAATAAATGTGAACTCCTATGGTTGCGCAGATTAATGGAAGAGTTAAGTTGGTTGAAACAACAAATATATCCTTGTTTTGTGATAGTACAGCAGCCATCAGTATTATGAAATAATCCAGTCCAGCATGATCGAACTAAGCAACATAGAGATTGATCATCAATTAATAAAAGAGAAGATAATTGAAGGCCTTATAAATGGTCTCCTTAGCTCAAAAGAGCAACTAGCCGATGTTTTCACAAAAGGTTTTGAATAGCCCAAACTGTTTCATCCTTTAGTTTGGCAAGTTGGGCATAGTAATAATCTATGCAACCACTTGGGGGGGAAAGGTGTTGAACATGCTTTGTAATTAAAGTCATATTGTCTTTCCTAGTTTAGGTTTATTGTCCTTTCTAATTTAGGTTTATTCTATTTAGATTACTTTTTCCTATATTGGAACACATCTTGTTATATATAATAGTGGTGTAGAGAGTTGAAAATATAACACACAATAAAAAGAAATACGAAATATTTTTAGATTACTTCCTATATTGGAACAATCTTGTGTATATATATAGTGGTGTAGAGATTGAAAATATAACACACAATAAAAGAAATACGAAATATTCTTTCAACAGCTAATTTCAAATTTCTGTCATAAAGGAGAGCACAACTGGATGGTAGCAAATTCACCAAAGAGTAGCCACAGATTAATAAAATTCTTAACAAGAAGCAGATACCAGACAAAAAGGAACATAATTTGGAAAAAAAAAAAAAAGAAACTGAAGCTCAAATTTCTTTCAAAACCAACGCAAACCTGGCAATAGCTGATTTACTCTTTTCTTTGAAGTCAAAACTTCAACTGCAAGTACTGGATTAACATCTGCAATCTAATAACAAATCACCAAATGCAGATTAGACATTAGCTTCCAAAAGAAATTCTGCATAAATTATTCACTTGAACTCAAATACTACGTACCCATACAAGATGCTGCAACACCAAATCCTGATCAGACAACTCCTCTAGAATCTTTGATGCCTCAATTGCAGCGATTTCTCTACCCGAGAGGACATTTGTACTTCCATCTTCTAAGTCAGTCTCTACAGCAGGGTCTTCCCATAGACCAGAAGAATAATTTCTTGCCAGAATGCGCCATATGGCAAGAGCCTTCGAGCTCATTCCTTTACTTGCATATAAGAAGGCAAGCGTCCGTAAATGGCCAGAGTCATCTAATAAGGTTTCTAACTCCTCCTGCACCGCCCATGGAAGTTGTATGGTCATCCTTCAAGCAAGCTCCTGACAACAGCCTCTCTGTTTTGCAATGCATTCGAATACTAAGACTCCATAGTCTACCATTGACTTGAGGCCTATGAACTAAACTGACATTGACACACAGTTCTGGATGCAGTATTCCAAAGATGAAAAAATCAGATGGCTCAGCTACAGTTACTATTAACCAAACCTCTTCAAGTTGTCTAATTTCTTGAAAAAAAAAAAAAATCTAGTTGTCTGTCTTAAATGTCTCATCCATGTCCATTAAAGGTGCCAGTGATTTTCCATTGGTTAATTTTTTTGTTCTTTTTTTAAAAGATAGGAACACAAGTTAAAAATCAATAAGGTAAAATGTGAAGAAAAGTATAGGCAGAAAAGAAAGGGAAAGAACAGGACAGAAAATTAGCAAAGCAATATCTGTTTTTTCTTCCTGTTCTTTTGGATTTGGAGAAACTTAAAGAAAGAAAATAAGGAGAAAGGAAATGAAATAATAAACTGAAAATAAATATTACAATTTTGGGGAATAAAAATTGGACTTCTCTCCAATCATTTTTTATCATTCCAAACAGCTGTATTGTATCTGAATATCTAATTCGTTTCCCTAGCCATAATGAAGATATCCTGTTCCAAACCACCAGCATCTAAAATCCAAGAGGCAAACCATATTCTGCACTCTAATACTATTGTAATAAGCACTGTAGGAAAATATTAAAACAAATGAATGAATAATCTTGCTTTTTAATTTCTCACAGACCAGGATTTTTAAGTTCTTCCACTTATCATCATAAAGTTTTATGATAACTTATGGGAAATTGCTGTCTCAAAATTTCACCCTTACGTAGCACAGTCTCAAACAATCTCCCTCTCAAGACAACACGAGAGACTAGTTATCATTATCTCAAGCAAAAGGTAAATAGGAATTACCACAATACAACTGTTCCCTGAAGATGCAAGCCTCTCCATGTCATCAACCCAGTTTAAAGCTCTATAGAGGTACATTAATAGCGTGTCAACTCCCTCCCTTACTGACAGGGTCAACTCTTTCTCGCGAGAGACTTCCAGATATCTATGGTAAATAAATAAGTTCAGCAGATAGTAGCAACAGGCTAAAACAAGGCAACAATCCAATCAAAAACTGTAGACACCTGATAATGTTCTTGATTGCGGACTCAAGTAAATTAGATCTAGTTGGTGGACTTGATATAAAATCATCATCTACAGCAGTATCTACGCCAGCTTTCTTTAGAAAAATAGCTCTTTGGATAGCCATCAATCCATCATCCACAACATCTTCAAGAGGAGCAGGGGGCGGGTGCAAGCCCCAATATCGGTTCCTAGGAACCTGAAAAGGTCAGTTCAATACTATGAAAGCAAACACTTTAAGTACTTCCCACATATTTAATATACATTATACAATCAAGTAAACCACAAGCGTTATCACGTTTAATGAAACAGTATATGTACAATTTAAGAAACTACTAAACGGTTACATAAATGCAAACTTTTCTAAGTCTAACTACCATTAACAATGAAATGCATAATTTGGGTTTTTTTTTTTTTTTTTTTGCAGCATTTTGATGGGTCTCATTGAATGTTAGTTATACAACTAGATCAGAGGTCATTATTCTTTAAGCTTGTGTTTTATGTTTTCTGGTTGTGTAGATGCATTTCTTTCTCTCTCAATAAAGTTGTTCTTATTTTAAAAAATACCAGGACCAATTGAATAGCATTTTCTTCTCCTCCACTTATTGGCTAATGTAAATCAAACACAATTACAATAGTTAATCATCCTGGTCAGGTACAGTAACAACACAAACATGAAAATAGTCTTTTATTTTCAGTAATGGAGACACAGAGCTGCACAACTTGAAATTTACTAGATAATTCTTGCTGCCACATTAAAAATTTAATTCCAGCAAGCAAATATTAGAAAAAACATTAGCAGAAAATCAGCACATACTCTGGGCTTCAATCTAACTATGTTCCTTAATATTAGTGAGTTTTCACTCATCTAAGTGTTCCATTTTAGAGATTAATTTGTGATTTATATCAATCCTAATTTAATGTTGTTTAAGTAATCTAATACAGTTTTCATCAAGAATAATACGAAAAATAGAAGACAAACATAAAAAGCACAACCAAATTTGAATTTATAATAAGATATACCAGCAGTGACCAGCGATTTGGATCTCGCATTATAAATGGAAAAACTTCAGAAGGCTGCATTGTCTCTGACTGCAGAAAGTGATTCACTGCTTCCTCAAAGTGCAAGTCGAAAAGCAAAAGAAAACCCACCTGAGCATGAACAAAGGACAGCATTTCATTTGAAATTTCACCTTCAGATTTAAGCTCCTCCACCAAGGAAATCGCTTCCCTGAAGTTTTTCTTTCTCAACAGATCTTTGATTTGTTCTTCAGAGGGTACTTCATGGTAGCAGATGACCTGGCAATAGTCAAGATAAATTATAATATTCTATGAAAAATTCTTATCAATGGCTGAGGCTCAAAAACATGAAATCATACAAAGTCACAAGTTTGCAGCCATGATGACAAGCTCTTGAGCAAGTAAATTTAACGAATATATCAGCAAACCCCTTAGTAATCGATTTCAAATTCAAGGAATTGAATCTCTAGACATGCAATCACATTTCTGCAAGATACAATAATATGTGCAAGCAAGGAAAACAAAAGGAGTCGGCATTAAATATCTTTTTCGCAACCCAGAGCCTATATGATCAAGTGAATACCAAAGTATTTTCTTTTTAACTTTTAGTAGAACTTTTAAATTTTAATAGAACAAGCAATGACCAGTATTAACTTTTAAAAGTCATAAGAAGAACATTTTCCCCAACAAATAATACATTCATTTATAACTAGCACAAGCCTAAATAACACTCAACAATAATAAGAAAGTTTGTAAAGGTAACTTCACAAGAAGTAAAAAGAATTAATAATAAGGATTAACTAATTCTAACAATCACATCAAACACATAATATCATTTAGAATATCATAACTTCCAAAAATATAACCCAGTAGCAAAATACATGGAAAAGAATAATTTAAGAGAAATCAACTGCATACCTTCGTGGTGGTTGCAACAGCAACAATTTGTCCATTTCCACTATCCTCACTGGCAAGAATACATGGCCCAACTCCTTCGCCACCAAGAATAATTGTCTGAATACAGTTACCCGATCTCTTGTTATATAGCTCCATCTTCCCATCCCTCACAAGCACTACATAGGAAGATAATTCCCCAATAGAATCTGGGCTACCACGGAAAACCAAGCTCCCTCCAACAGGCTGCCCATGCTCATTAACAATAATTCCAACATTGTCTACCAACATTAGCACCTTCTTCTCTTTCCATAACAACTTAAGCTGCGGTGGGCTAGATATGTCCGGCAACGAAAATATCACACCACTTTGCCCCGTAACACAAGAAAACAAACTATATCCATTGATGGTACCAACAATTATTGAATCATTGAGCCACACGATGGCCTTAACCCCGTCAATACACTGGATCTCTTTCAAAATTACAAAAGACCCGCTTGAATTGTCAATGTCTCGGTCAGTTTTAGCTAGTCTACTACTACCAAAAACTAGCTCTATTAATACCAATCTTTTACCAATAACAACAGCAAAGACATTGTTACCTTCACCCTGTTGCACAGGTTCTTTGGTTTTGAGTCCATTAGTTCTAATCCCACCTCCCAATTTCTGTAAAATTCGCTGACTGGCACTAGAAGTCTCCAAGTTACTACCAGTTATACCCAATAAATTAGTGCTCTCAAAATCATTGCTTCGAATTCTCTTGGCAATGGCACAAACTCCCTTAACAAAAGTCAATTTCTTGACAGGCTGAGACAGAAGAGAATCGACCAAAAACAAGGAACCATCACAGAGAAGTAGAACCTTCCCAATATCACGTAGAGCGAGTATTGTTTCTATAGGAGAATCCCCAAGAGCAACGCTGCTCAGAAACGAAATGTTTTTGCTTTCAGAGGCATCGAAATCGAGAGTGGATTGAGTATCTTGTTTGGCCGCAGCATGATCACCAGCAGTGGGATTGTCAGTAGAGAGTAAAAGGAGGGATCCAGAGAAGGTACCGATGTAAATTAGGGTTTGGGAATTGGAAATGGAAGAGACAGAGAGAGATCGGATTGAAGTGGGAGAGTAAGAGGAGAGGTCAATGCTAGAGAGAGGTTCGAGTACGGTTCGAACAGAAGGATCGGGCTTGGCCATGGAATGTAAAGTGAGAACAAGGAATTTGCAGAGGCTAAGACTTGAAGTAGAAAGCCATTGAAGACAAAATGCTATTCGTTGAAACAGCTACTCCTGCTTCCGCCGTTTTTCCTGTTTTTTTTTTTTTTTTTTTTCTATTCGTGAAACAGCTACCTCCTGCTTCCGCCGTTTTTTTTCCTGTTTTTTTTTTTTTTTTTTTCCTTTTTCTGTTCTCGCGATCTAACTTCTAATTTCATGGAGGTGTCATGCCCTGTTTTTTTTTTTTTTTTTTCCTTTTTCTGTTTCTCGCGATCTAACTTCTTAATTCATGGAGGTTCATGCCATGTTTATTATGCTCTAACAAATTGTTCAATGAAACACTCGCGGTCCTTTATTCCGAGAAAATTTTCTTTTTAGTGTATTTTTTATTTAAAAAATTTTACTCTAACCAGTAACTTTAGTATGTAAGCCAAGTAAAAAAATCAGAATGTTTTTACAATATACATGTTTGTTTCAATATTAAAGCTTAATAATAGAGATGAGTAGCCGACACAAATATTCTTAGCATTTAATAAAAACTTGTTTCAATGGACCAATTATCAGTTTACTTTTTTATATCGACTTTGCATAATGACAGTTATTTATATAATTTAGCCACAAAATTAAAGTACAAGTTTTAAATGACAAATGCATAAATTTATTATGGCACCCTTAAATTTACATGAGACCTATTATGCTCATACATTTTTACATTTCAGTAATAACAATGCTCTCACCGAAATAAAAGTAAAAGTGCAGGGTCATGATTGAACTCTTGCAAAGTTATTTCATTTTGACAAAGAGTATATTTATTATCGAAATGTTTCGGTTATTGGGGAAAAATTAATATACTTTTAATGTCGAATCAGGATGAAGATAAGATAGATTCTCCGCAAACTTTAAAGTGCCACAAGGCAAATCACGTAAATTTTAGGACAAATTTATATTAAGCCAATTCCAATATCAAAATTATCGCTATAAATACAAAGTTGGCCTTTATTTTTATGTTCAATGGCTATATATTCACTTTTATCATTGTTGGTATAAGGAATGAAGATATGTTGGGCTAGTTAGGTTTTAAAACGGTCACTTTTTGTCTTTAAAAGTACGAGCATATTGAGATTTTGAAAAAATTAGAAGTATTGTTTTGGTCACATTGGTGGAAAAGGTAGGTAAAAACAGTGAGCAAACACAGAAAAATAGTGCACAACTTGAAAAACTGCAGTCTTCAATTACTGATTTGAGGCACTTTCACGAAGGAACTAGTGAGTATTCTAAGGTTTTTGAAATACTTGCTTTTGTTAATGGTGACCAAGAAGATGCAAATGTAGCCAACCTGATTAGTCTTCTTGAGAAGCAAACAAATGATGACGACTAATGTGATCGAAGTCCAAAAGATGTATCGATCCTGCAATGCATAAAGATAGTACTGTTAAGAGGCAATCTAAAGTTATTTATGCTTCATTACCTATAGGATTCAAGTCTAGATGATGCAAAATAGTGGTCATTTCTAGATATGATGTAGCCAATTTAAGTGTTATGGAGAAGCGAATGGATTTTCTCTAAATCAGATTATTAACTATGGTTTCATTTTATATATGGCCAAAATTTAGAAAACCAGGAGTCTGATTGTAAAAAATTTGGCTCCAAATTCTATTTCATTTTGGCCAAAACATATTGAGTTTGAGCACTACTTTTTGAATTTCAATTAAGTTTTGAGGAACTAAATTTTACTTTTAATTTTGAATTTGAATTGAAAAAATTATTTAAGTTTGAACAAGTTAAAGCCGAAATTTTAGTCTTCCCTCATTTTTTCTCCAAAATTTTAAGGAATTTATAACCTTTAATGAATAAATTCAAAAATTGGACTTCAATTTGTCTCCAAATTTTATTTAATTTATGGGCACATATTATATAAAACATTCCCATTGTAATGAAGTGTCATAATAGAAATATGGAAGGTTTGAATTTTTATCAAAAGTAATGCCCAATCCGTGCAAGTAGACCATTAATGAACTTTTTGGGACTGTCTCTTATGTCAGCTGTTGTACCTATAATTAATGATGTAATTAACTCTTATTAAGGGCGTTTTAAGGAGAAAAATTCGGTTAACTAACTTTTTTAATCTAAGAGATTTTCTATTTTCTCTAAATAAAAGGAACAGAGGCAGTAAAAATTACATTATTTGACTAATTACATTGTTTAATTAGACCTGTTTTTATAATGTAATTGAGATTCTATGTGTAATCTTCATTACTTAAATTGATGTAGCATTCATTACATAAAAATCCTATGTAAATTCCATTACATTCTTAGAGGTCCAAGCCCATTCTCAACAAAAATAACTCTCCTACTCTCTCCTCTATCCGAATCCTAATAAGTCTAGCGAATTTTCTAGTGTCTACTCCATCATTACCAATTTTACTTTTTCGTCTTCTTTGCCACCATCGACCATAATGACAGTGGCGACAGTAATGGCCGTGGCCATCTCTTAAAGAATAGATCTCATCTCTAACCAATCATTTCTTACTTGATTGTGAATTGGAAATCCCAATTTTTTTAGCTTAAAATTGATGACTCGTCCATATTCTTAATCAAAATTGCTTTCTGTAAATACTACTATTGTGCGGATGTGTGAGGTCTTGACTCGAACACTAATTCTAATCCATTAAAAAGTGAAATCAGTACGTTCATATTGAGTTGGATTCATGGTCTGAAAGCCTATTTAATCTGATTGCTTCTTTAAAAAGGATTCGACACTTACATTTTTGGGTTCAAAGGAAAAATCTAATGAAAACCTTAATTTTGACTCTAGATATTGGTCAAAATGGATGAAATAATCATCGAAACCAAATAGAATTCAAGGACTAGATTTTTGATTTTAAAACAATGATTTAATTGGCCTAAATATTAATACTTTATTAAATGAAAAACAGTTTTAAGATGAGAACATGCATGGTAATACTATAAAGCAAGTAAAGAAAAGCGGTAAAAAAAAGCATAAAAGGACAACGATAATAAAATAATAAAAGAATAAAAGGGAGTGTCACCTTTAGCCCCTTTTAGAGGATCTAGGATGACCACACATCTCACATTAAGGCAAATAAAGCAAATAGAGAAAACGGTAAATAAAGTACGAATGAATAAATTAATAAAGGGTAGTCCCTTAAAGAAATTATAGGATGACCACACGTTTTCCTAAACCAAAAGCAGAGGAAAGCTATCATAGACAACGATGAAGGCAACATGCAAACAACATGAAGAAAGCACAAAGAAATAATAACAAAAAGGAGTATTACCTCTAGCCCCTTTATTGGGATTCTAAAACAATCACATGTCTTCCAATCAATCATGTAAGACAAGTAAATCTGAACGAAGGAAGAGAAGAGGAAAAAGGGAAAAAGATTTTATGGATTTTTGGTTCGCACTCAAGTTTAGTAATTAAGTCTACCTGCTTACCTCATTGAATAAGAATTATAACCAAACAATTCTTCCCCTTGTGAAATGGAGGTTAGTTGATTGTGGAATGAGGTCGGTTGATTATGGAAAAGTAAGTTTTGTCAAAAGTGGCTTTAGTCACCAATTTGATTGAAAAGTGACATTAGTTGTCAAGTTAGTTAAAAAGTTGCTTTAGTTGCCAAATTTAAGAAGATTATGGAAAAGTATGTTTTGTCAAAAGTGGCTTTAGTGGCCAAGTTTAAGAAAAAATGGGTTTAGTTGCCATGTTATGTGAAAATGCGGGTTTAGTTGCCAATTTGAACGTAAAAGTGGCTTTAGTCGCCATGTTTATGAAAGAATGACTTTAATAGCCATTTGATTGAAAAAGTGGCTTTAATCACCAATTTGAAGGTAAAAGTGATTTCAGTCGCCATATTTGTGAAGAAGTGGCTTTAATTACCAATTTGAAGGAAAAGTGGTTTATATCGCAATGTTTTTTTTGAAAAAGTGCCTTTAATTGCCATGTTTGAAAAGCAAAGTGTTTTGGCTTTAGTCGCTATTTTGAAGAAAAAATATTATTTTTTAGCTTTAGTCACCATGTTTGAAAGGCAAAGTGTTTTTGGCTTTAGTCGCCAAATTTTAAAAAAGAGAAAGAGAAGTAGATGAGCAACATGCAAATCATGCAAGACAACAAGCGATTCTCCACATCATGCTTTCAATCATCAACACAACATTAATGTCATATTAAAGGCCAAGGGTCTAACTATGAATGCGTAGATGTGACATCCTACAATCGTTGCATAGAATCGAGTCGAGTCGGGCCGAACTAAAACCCGGTTCGAGCCATTAGAGTCCAGAGTGGGGTAGTATGGGCGAGTCGAAGTCGTGGCCGAAATTAAAAACCCGGTTCGAAGCCATTAGAGTCAGAGTGGGAGCTGATGGGATTTACTATAATCATGATATAGACAGTGGAACCATACTTGAATAAACAAAAGATCAAGTATAAGGATTAGGACTTACTTGCACGTAAACTTATAAAGTTAGGTATATGGTTGTAATCATTGACATTAAGTACCATTTGTTAAATTTTACACAAAAAATTCATTGAAAATTCTAAAGCCTATCCGTGATTACCATTTCATTTTTCCTTTTTCATCCTTATCCTTCCACTCGTCCTTCCATTCCTTTCTCTTCCACCTTCCTTCTCCATCAATTTTATATGGTAGCTGAAGCATTTTAATGTAGCTTAAGCAATAATTTCAACCTCATTTATCATATGTAGTCAAATCTTTTTGAGTTTCATTAAATTGAATCATTTGGTGATCATTTTTAGCAGTATTCCATATAAATCTTATTTATAGCGTGAAGTGAGTTCAAGTAGTAGAAAAAGGGAACTAAAAAGAAGAGCTTGCTTTTTGGAGTGAAGGTTGATTATCTCTTTTAATTTATCACTTTCCTTGCATTGAAAAAACTTGTGTTGTGTGTTGTAATGAGAAACATGTGCTTAATGTGAGTGAGAGAACTGAAATGGTGACAAGCATGGGATGAAATTGAATAAATGAAGTAGGATATTGAATTATTGCTGAAATAGGGTTTTGCTGGAAAATTTTACTGAGTAACATTCCACTTCGATTTTGACCCTATGTAAACGATGGAATTAGAGAGTGTCTAGAAGCG